TAAAGGCCAGCTCTATGTGTAATGTGTTCAAAGGACTTCATGACTTTGTACACATAGTAGAAGGAATTTAATATTTATGCCCAAATATCTTGTCCTTTTAATAGGATAATATGATAAAAGCTGGCTATTCAGGAGCTTTTCATCATTTATTGTTCAGAAAGCCCACCACAACCATGGGTTCCTCATTTCCAGATTCAGTTGAGAATCAAATATGTATGCGGAAAAACTGCATATGCATTGAATATGTTTAGGCCTTTTTACTGAGATATATCTGTAATATTAGAGGTAATTTAGAGATGATTTAAAGCATATAGGAAGCTGTGCATAGGTTGTATGCAAATACTAGACTATTTTATGAAAGGGACTTGAGCATCTTTGGATTTTTATGGATACCAAGAAATGAGTTGTGCTTGAGTTCATGGATTGCGGGCTACATAAAATTTAAGCGTAGAGGGAGAGGGCGGGGGAGGAGATAGATTTTTTGAATCTAGATTTCCCCAGCATTGTTCTTTATAGTTTAGTGAGCTTTGACACCACCTAACCAAGAGTTTGAACGAGGCATGCCAGGTAAAAATTAAATACATTTGAAAAGATCCCATTCTCTTATGTTATCTTGGAAATGTGTTTCTTATTAAAATTTTTCAAAGGAATAATATTCTTCCATGCCAAGCCTAATCTAATCCACCATCAAAACAAGTCTAAATAATGCCCTTAGCTAGGGTTGTCTCTATTCTGCCAATTCTGGGTAAGACATTTTATATTTTGTATGTGCTCCTTCGGTCATATCAGAAAAACTAGAGTGAGTGTTTAAGTGGCTCAAGAGGTTCAAAACTGCCATTTGGGGTAATTTAAGACTTTCACCTTAGGGAACATTTTGAGAGACCAAGGGCATTTTCTTTCACAACATGGTTCAAAGAAACATCTTTCTGCCAATTTACATTTCATTGCAGTTTTCAATGGTCTAACATAGTTTCTATTATCTACTCAAAAACTCTTGAAAAACATTAAAAAATATTCGGATTGTTTTATCAACACATACATAATATGTTATTGCATAGTGTATAAAATGGATAAGGACTGTACAATACAAACTTATGTTCATAGTTTGACATAACAAAATGTCATTACTAAATTCCCATTGGACTACAGAGTAGAAAGAGCAAAGATAAATTAAACATTCATATCTTTAGTAAGGAAGATTACCAAGATGTGTCAGGATTTACAAGTATAATAATGCATTCTGAAAACTTTTACCCATTCAATCTCATTAGCTTATAAAACATAATATGCTTTATTAAAAATTTCTCCATAGTTTGTACAAGTATTAAAGTACTGAAAAGTAATAAATCCTGCTATACTTGTATGGTTTTAAAAGATGCTAAGCAAAGATTATTTTGACACTCCCACACTAAGTACACAACTGAATAAAAGTGCTAGGATTTGTAAAACACATTGTAGCCCTCCTTTAATGCAGGGAAGATGTGAATTTGTAATCATTTAGAGATTATTAACCTTGATCAAGAATAGTAAGACAAAGCTGAGTGACTTCATGTTATGATAGTAAAGAAAAAACATTTTTATAAGTGCATTTCAACAATGACAGTAGTCATTAATCAGATACACCAACAACAAAATGGTCTGGAGGATTAAGAGAGACATTTTCTTCATTATTATTACATAAGGTCTCACTATGTAGCCCACTCTCACTATGCATCAAACCCATCGTCTTTCTGCCTCAGCCTCCTGAGTACTGGGTTGACAGATGTATGCCACCACACCAGGTAGAATGATTATTTTTGTAAAATACACAAATGCCCATAGTTATCTATAGTCATTCCTGTACTAAAAGTGTCAAAAAATACTACTGGATTATATAACTTTTATTACTTTTAGTATATATTTTGTTTTGTTAGCCTAGACTTAGCAATTTCAGGTTCTTCTTTTTTAAAGCCAGGAGTGGTAGTACACATCTGTAACCCCAGTGCTAGGGAAACTCTTTTTTTTTTTTTTTGCTGTTTTGGGGCTTGAACTTGGCCTGGGTGCTGTTCCTGAGCTTTTTAGGCTCAAGGAGAGCCCTCTACCACTTGAGCCACAGAACCATTTCCCGTTTTTGAGTGGTTAATTGGAGATGAGTCTCACTGGGACTTTTCTGCCCTGGCTGGCTTCGAACTGTGATCCTCACATCTCAGCCTCCTAAGTAGGATTACAGGCTCCTTGCCATTTTATTTCTTAACATAGAAGTAAAATAAATTGTCATCTTGTTTCTCATTTAGTGGAGACCACACACAAAGCAGTACGTATCAGGGCTTTAATTACAGGATAGATAAGAGAGTTATGGGACATTTCTATTCAATAATCTGAGTGAGTGCTGACACTGTTAACTTTAAGAAGCATGGAATGACAGGAAAAGTTAACAAAAAACAAAAAAGGTAATATGCTGGATGGATAGCTGAAGTCTTAAAGCTCCACAGATAGCTTGTTTTGAGTTTAGTAACCTTATAAAAAAGGGCTAGAGATTTCATAAATCAGAGTAAACACTTCTAGTTCTCCCACCAACCTAAACTAAAAACATTGCAGTGGGATTTTTCAGCTTAATTTGTTCCCTCGGTTAGAAATACATTCTTGGCTAGTAGTAATGCAATGTTCGGAGGCAGAACATGCAATGCCAGGGAGGTAACTTTCAGAAAAGTGTCTTCAGTCCAACCTAACATTATTCCTGGAGAACTGTACCCAGAACCATGAAGTGTGTGTGTGTGTGTGTGTGTGTTGGAGTAGTGAGGTTTGATTTTTTTTCTTCTTCCATACTGTAATTGCTAATGACACTTTTGCTTTTCTGGTCCTAAAAAGGCAGCCTTCATTTATTGCACATGTGCTAGCGTCAAGATCAGGGTACGCCGCCACAGCCAAGGTTACAAATGGGAGCCACCTCATGATTAAAACAAAACCAAACCAAAAATCGCTGAACTACGAGCAGGGCCGCGATCAACCCCACCTGTTGAGGTCAGCTGGCTGGCCGGGCTGCTTCTCCCCCACCCCCTCACCCCCGACCTCCGAGGTGAGGGCGGAGGCGGCCTCCCGGCCCTCCCGGCCCTCCCGCGAGCAGCCCACCCCGCGGCCTGGCTGGCGCGGCGGCCTCGCCCGGCCCGTCGAAGGGCGAGGACCGCATGGCAGCCGCCACCGCACTGCACAAAAGGCTATCGCGGGAGCCATGGGGCGCTGCACCGAACCCCTAGCTCGTGGGGTTGGGGCAACCCCGGGGCAAAAACACCCGAGGGGCGGCGTGGGCCGGGGGCGAGCCCCAGGTGCGGCGAGGAGGAGGGGGAGGAAGAGGAGGAGGAGGGCTCCGCCACGCGCCGAGGAAGAAAGCCTGACTCATGTCGTGGCCGCGGGCTCCTGGGAATTGAAACTCGTGACGCCGGCGCTGCGGAGAAAAGCCTCCTAACCCAATCCGCAGGGGCGGGGTGCGGGGGAGACACCACCCGGGGCGCGCGCACTCGAGACCCCGCGCAGCCCCTGCCCGCCGCACCCAG